CAGGGGACTCTGATAATTGCACAAAAGAAACAAATGTAATGACTAATCTTATTGATTTTAAACATCATAGATGACATTTTCCTAACTAAATAGGTGTTACAGCCATCATGAGGGAATTTTTCAATAAACCTTTTCCTAAAATCTAAAGAGGAACTAATCTCAGAACAGAAAATTAACAGGAGCTTAGGTACAAAAGATAAGGACTTGATCACATTCATAATGTGCAAGTAGAATAAAGTTCAGACGAGTTATTTATATCCGTGTTTACGCACACTCTCTCACAGCGCACTTGCTGCTTTGATAGGGCCAGTTTCAAAAAGGTAAAAATGATCATGAGCCAAATCAGCTGTGAGAGAGAATTTAATTTAAAAAAAAAAGGATTTGGGAATCACTAAAGAACACCTTACTAGCTGCCTCAAACGCCCCAATCTCTCAATTGAGGAAGAAGGCCATACTGGGTGAAAAACTGACATGGTTTAGTAGGGAACCGAAGATAGCTATATTAATAATAATAATAGATAGCAAATGGAAGAAGGGCGAGGTTAATAATCATGAACAGGGCTCGACAATCTATGTAATCTACTTGCCCGTGGCGAGTAGATTACATCCCGGAAGAGTCGGGTTCGGGCAATCTGCGCATGCTGGAGAGCGCGGCTGGAGAGCCCTGATCATGAACATATATTAGAAGTTAGGAATTGTGAAAAAGTGAGAAAGGAAGGGACCCAAGAACACATGGCCAGCAGAGTTCAGAACAATAAGGAGGAGGACTGTGGTCCATCACCAGAGGGAAATGGTAGTGTTATGAACAACAATGCAGCTCTCTGTTCTGTGTCTGGGGAAAAGCAGATGATGTAATTTCATTGTATGGTGATAACACTCATTCCATTCCCCTAATATCTCTGGAGGATGTTTAACAGAAGCTACTAAAGTGAGACATTTTAAAATCAGCAGGTCTAGATACTTGCATCTAAGAATTTGTTTTTCAGGATCTGGTCGTGTAGTTAGCTGATTCCAAGTAAGTCTCAGAGCCCGGGGCAAATTCCAGAAGCCTGGAAGAAAGCTGCTGTTGTTTCAGTTTTTTAAAAAGGGTAAATTTTAGGCCTGTCAGCCTGATATCCTGGCAAGATAATGGAGCAACTGATACTGGACCTGATTAATAAAGAATTAAATCAGGGTAACGTGAGAAATGCAAATCCACATGGGTTTATTGAAAGTAGATCCTGTCAGACTAATTTGATCTCTGTTTCTGATGAGATTACCATGCAAATCCACATGGGTTTATTGAAAGTAGATCTCTGTTTTTGATGAGATTACGAGTTTGATAAAGATAATAGTATTCTGGTCTGCTGCGGGGGTAGGCAAAGAGGGCAGCTGCCCTGGGGCCTAGTGATTTTAAAAGGATCTGGGACTTTAGGTTGCTTTTGCAGTCGACAGAGCCCTGGGCCCTTTAAGTCATCATGGTCTGGGATGCACTGAGGGCTCCGTGGGTAGGCTAGCCCAGGCCACGCCCCTTTCTGGGGGCCAGAGGCCCTGCCCCTTCTGGGGTGGAAAAGCTGAGTCCCCCATTCACTTTGCCCAGGGCCCTATGAAGTCTGTTGCCAGCCCTGATCATGTTCACATAATATACTGGGACTTCTGTAAGGCATTTGACTTGGTACTGCATGCTGTTTTGATTAAAAAATTAGAAGGATGTTAACGTGGCACACGTTAAATTGATTAAACACTTGGCTAACAGAGGTCTCAAAATGTAATTATAAAGGAGGTGTAATTCTCAAGTGGGTCCTGCCGTGATTGGTTCCCAGTGTGATGCTGTGGCCATGTGACAGGGGGTGGCTACTCTCTGCGGGATAGTGCCTCCTCCTGGCTGCTCTGGGGATTAGCTTTGCTAGGCGTTGCCCCTGCCAGTGGTTACCCTCTGCCATTCTCACAGCTTACAACCCTCTCCTGCCCCAGTGCCTCAGCGCACTCTTAAAGAGTTGACCCTCTGGCCAGGTCACCAGGTGGGTGGTCTCCCTTTCTGGGCTTGGAAAGTCACATGCCACCAACACGCTCAAGGACTCTTTCTGTTCCGGTCCTGCCGATGCTACTTCTCCAGAGGCTGGTTAGGGAACCTAGGTCCTCCCTCTTTTCTGGGTTCTGGCTCAGGCACCCTAGTCTGCAGACAACCTCGTCTGTTCCATCCCAGACCTAGCTGCGCTTCCCTGAATCTTTTCCTAGCCTTCTGGCTCTCCCCTCCTTGTCTGGTTTGCCAGCCTGTCAGGGGGTGCATGCCCCCAATGTGCCTCAGTGCCCCCTGACTGTCCTCATATAGCCCTTCGCAGGGCGAATTCCAGTCTGTTTGGGTTGCTCATCATAGGCCACAAAGCAGTATATAACTGGCCCTTTAAGCAAGGCCGAGTCCACCAAGCAGTTTATAACTGTTGTAGCAGGGCGCACCCCAGGTAGGGGGACCCGGGCCCACCGTACTCCACCGGGTCCCAGCCCAGGGCCCTGTGAGCGACCAGGTACCGGGTCACTCCCCCGGCGGGGCCATCCAGCCGAACGCACCAAGGTTCTCAGGCCAGGAGGGGCGGCTCCCGCTCCTGCCCTGGGCCACTTCCTACCTGGATCCCCTGGCTTCCTTCCCCTGGACTTGCCTCGCTGGCTGCGATCTCCAGGCCAGCGTCCCCTCGGCAGGCAGTCTCCGGTTGGCCCCAACTCGCCTCCGCCTTCCTCCGGCCTTTCCTGGAGTCCCTGGCAACCGCTGCGGGAGAGCTCCCTGCTCCAGCCCTTCTACTTCGGCTGGCTCCCTCCAAGGAGCTCCTGCTTCCTCTGCAGTCAGCCTTCCACTGCCTCCCCAAAGCAACCTGTGCTTCTCTATGTATACCTGCCCAAACCTGTGCTTCTCTATATATACCTGCCCGCTGGGGCTCTCACTCCTCTAATGGGTTCAGCTGGCTTCCCCAAGCCAATTGTGCTGCCCTAGATAGTTGTCAGCTGGGCTCTCACTGGCCCTAAACCGCTCCAGCTGGCCTCTTTCTTTCTAGCCCTGGCTCAGAGCCTGAGTCCTGGTCTTAACGGGCCAGGGCAGGCGCCCTGTCACACAGCCCCAAAACTCTCTCCTCCAAAGGAGCAACATTATGCCACTTGTCTCTCTAACTGACTTCCTTGCAACGTTCTGCTGCTGCCTGCTTCCCAACTTCATGGAAGCCTGGCCTGTTTCTTCACAAGTGAGTTTCTCCTATTTAAGGCTTTTTTCCTCCTCCTAATTGGTTCATTTGGCCCTCTGGGCTACCGTAGCCCCTTCTGAGCATGCGTAGCAAGGACGCCGTATCCCAGACCAAAATTGTCAATCCAATGTGGGGATGCATAAATGGGAGGAGCAGAGCGGTTATTTTACCTCATTATATGGCACTGCTATGACTACTGCTGATATGTGGTGTCCAGTTCTCTGATTCAAGACAGATGTTGGTAAATTGGAGAAGGTTAAGAGAAAACCCGCAAGAATGATTAAAGGAGTAGAAAACCTGCCTTATATAAGGATAGACTCAAAGAGCTCAATCTCTTCAGCTTAACAAAGCGAAGGTTAAGGCGCGACTTGATTACAGTCTGGAAGAATCTACATGGGGAACAGATATTTACTAATGGACTCTTCTGCCTGGCAGAGAAAGGTCTACCATGTACCATTATGTGGAAGCTGAAGAAAGAAAAATTCAGACAGTAAGGCACACATTTTTAACAGTGAGGTTAATGGACTGTGTCGCAATCTATGTGGATTCTTCAGCACTGACCATATTTACATCAAGATTTAAAAAAATTTGCTTTAGGAATTATTTTTGGGAGTTCTGTGGCCTGTGTCATTCAGAAGGTCAGACTAGATAATCAAAATGGTTCCTTCTGGCCTTGACTTATATTAAACATAATTTGTAGTGCCTGTACGGATGCTGAAAAGTAAAAGAACCCAAGGTGTCCTATTTGGACTAGATACACACACTGCCATTGAAGGTCAAGTATCAGAATATGAAACCTGTGTAAGAAACAGAAGGGAAAGGAGTCCCTGAAATGGCACAAGCTTCCTGCTCTCCCTTCTGTAGTTTGGGAGTATGTGTAATTCCCTGGGCAAAATAGTGATAAAGTAACGAGATATCATTTGATTCATAAAAATGTACAGACTCAATTTTTGGTGGTGACCCCCTTGTATGTCATGGCAGGGGAACTCGCTATCGTGGCTCCTCGCACCAGCTCCTCCGGTTGTTTTAAATTTTGATAATCCAGCATCATTGGAAACATGTCAAATTGAGTATCATTCAAAAGTCCTTTCTCCCCCAAATACAGTGGTACCAAACGTGACAAACCTAGCACCATTATGTAGCTATGTATTGGAGAATATGTTGAAAAATTCGTGTTTGAATTGCACTGTAACTCTGGCATGGCAAACATGTGGCCTTCACAAAGGTCATCTGTGTTGTCAGTTAATGTACAGAACATGGTACTTGATCAATTTTTTTAATATTACCGATTACTGTAAATGGAAGGAGTGTTTCCAGCTGATTTGCCATTGACAAAAAAAGAAGTGGTTCAGTTGTATTGATTATCGGCTTTGTTTATTATGCCAAAAACTGTTATGAGGCATTTGCTATGACACCTGCATCCAGCCAGAAATTAATGGAATCAGTTTGCAAACGTGATGCACATAGTTATGCAGCATATGTTACTTAATATAGTGAATTACAATCCCAAAGTGATTTATTACAAATCTTTCTGTGATCTTGATCATGTTTAGCTGTCAGTGGGGGAACAGAGTACCAACCAGTAGCTGAATCTTTGGGGAATACTGCTGCATTGGATGTTTGGTGCACCTTTCATGCTGTAAGACATGTACCCATAAACTGAATTTGGCATAGTTTGAGAGGAAGGACATTGAGCATCAAGAAAAAATTGAAGATGCGGGGAACAGTGCCAACTGTGGTTGAGATTCACATAATAGTAGGCCCTATGGCATGTATTTGGAGAATACTTACTTCTTTTGAGGGAAGCCAGAAGCCTGAAGGCATTCATTAAGTACAGTTTCAACATGCGAGACAGGTAAGAAAGAGTATGAATCAGTCACTGTTAATGAGACTATTGCATGGAAAATAGGGAGTGTGTTTGTCCAAAAGACGCCCATGCGTACGATGTTGGGTAATCTATAGAGTGCTACAACAAGAACATATGTAATGTATTGCATTAAAAGGTAAAAGCAACAGAAATAAATACGGATAGGACTAATGCAGTGGTCTCCAGCCTTTTTATGCCCAAGATCACTTTTTAAATGTCAGAAGAAGCCAAGATCTACCATCCCATCCTTCCCCCAAGATCCCACCCCTTCCTTGAAGCCCCACCCTCTCTGTTCTCCTCCTCTCCATCACTTGCTATCCCCAGCCCTTATATTCTCTCAAGGTATGTCTAGACTACATGCCTCTGCCAACAGAGGCATGTAAATTAGACTATCTGACATAGTCAGTGAAGCGGGGATTTAAATATCCCCGCTTCATTAAAATAAAAATGGCCTTCGCACTATGCCAGCTCAGCTGATCATTGGCACAACGCGGCAGTCAAGACGGGGATCGGTCGGCAAGGAAAGCCTTTGCTGACTGATACCTTATGAGGTTTACAGGATCGGTTGGCAAAGGCTTTCCTTGCCGACCGATCCACGTCTCGACTGCTGCATTGTGCCGACGATCAACTGAGCTGGCACAGCGCAGCGGCCATTTTTATTTTAATGAAGCAGGGGATATTTAAATCCCTGCTTCATTGACTATGTCGAGTAGTCTCATTTACATTCTTCTGCCGGCAGAGGCATGTAGTCTAGACATACCCTCAGGGTACGGTTACACTGCTGCTTTTTTTTCCTGATTCTTCCATAGGAAGAGGTTTTTCCAACATTTGACCTGTCTAGACTGGACCAAATGTCAGAAAAACCCTTCTTTCAGAAGCCCCCTTATTCCTTGTGGAACGAGGAACACAGGGGTTACCGGAATTAAAAAAAAAAAAAAAAAAAGGTGGAAGAACAAACGCATCCCTGGACACAGAAGAGTTTTCTTGGGATACCTCTGGAATCCTGGAAAAACTCCTACAGTCTAGCCATACCCTCACTGGGTTGAGACAGGATGGGTGGGCTATGGGGTGGGAATGAGGGATTTGAGTGTGGGAAGGGGTGAGAGATGCAATCTCTGAGAGGGAATTTGGTTGCAGGAGGAGGTGGAGTAGGGGATGCAGCCTTGGGGAGAGGGTTCCAGGCTGGGGATTGTTGGGGTCAGATGGAGGCTTGGGGTGCTGAGAAAGCTACAGGCTTGTGGATGTGAGGGTGCAGGAGTTTGGGTTGGGGTATGTGAGGGGCTACGGGCAGGGAGGTTGGGCGTATAACGGGCTCAGGACACATTTGCAGTGTGTGGGTGGTGCAGAAATGTTGTGGCAGAAGGCTGGGGATGTGGGGGTGCAGGAGTTTGGGGATATGAGAGGCTCAGGACAGGGGGTGCCAGTGTATGATAGGCTCAGATCTAGAGTCTGGGGCGGGGGTGCAGGAGTGTTATGATGCTGCGGCCAGATGGGGGCTTGGCCAGGCTTCATTTTTAAATAAAATATTATGACAAACTCAAAAAGTTTCAGCACTTTCTTTATGAGAAGGGCGGGGAACCTGCTTTGAGTCAGGAGTCACTTACCCACAGAAAAGTCAGTTGGTGCCACACAAGTGAGATGCAAAAAAATAACTCCTCCAAACCAGCCACCCACCCCAAGCCTCACTAATGTGGCCCCAACTGTGCTAGTGGGAGCAGGGGACATGGTACTGGGGAGGGGTGCTAGTGGCTGCTGGGGTGGGGACAGGGTGCCAGTGGGAGCAGGGACAGGGTGCCAGTGGGAGTAGGGGACAGGGTGCTAATGGGGACAGGGGACAAGCTGTTGGTGGGAGCAGGGGGCAGGGGGG